TTGTTAAGTTAGTTTCACCACATTTTACAAGTTGGCCACGCACACCCAATCACATGACTGCCAAGCCACTCCCACCCAGTCACATGACCAGCAAGCCACTCCCACCTGGTCACATGGCCGACAAGCCACTCCCACAAAGCAGGCCACACCTACAGAAGAGGTTCTAAAAAATTTTGAAACCCCCCCACTGCTCCACTGGTACCTCTAAAGTTGGTAAACTACAGTAGTAAAATTAAAGCAAAAGTTCCCTAGTTCTAACTAACTAACTGTCTGTCCGTCTATCCATCCATCCATCATCCATCCATCCATCATCCATCCATCCATCCATCCATCCATCCATCCATCCATCCATCCATCCATCTATCCACACACACAAACACACACACACACACACTCTTTGTGTGTATATGTAAAAATATGACACTGCATGAATGTTTTTAATGCAAAAGAAATTAACAGCACCAAATATTTTAATGATTAAGCATAATTAATATTAATACCAAAGCAAATATTCTAGAATATTTATTTTCTAATTATTGTAGCACAAATATTTTCAAATGAACACTAATTATTCACTTGCCAGACATTGATGTAAAAAGTCAATGCATGTAGTTGTGTGGTAGTGTTGCTAGCAAAAAAAAAAAAAAGGACAGGCTAACAAAATCTCATATTCTTCCTTCCTCAGGAAAGCAGTTTCGAGTGTTGTTTCTCAGCACAGTACGAACCCGACACACTTGCAAACACAAGCAAACAGCGATGAAACGGAAGGAACATTTATTGGAAGATTCAACAGAGGACTTAGATTATGGTTTTCTGTCCAATTACAAACTTCTCAACACAGCCATTACAAGAGCACAGTCCCTAGTAGCTGTGGTGGGCGACCCAATTGCTTTATGTTCCATTGGAAGATGCAGGTACAACCAATATGTGGTATGACCAAATAATAAATCATAACGATGAAAGGCTTACTGTGTTTTTAACAGTTGATTTTCATTCCTGTTCTGCTTCACCTAGGTGGACCCTTTAGATGGGTGGGGTCTCCAACTGTGGCAACTTTAAGACTTGTGGACATCAATTCCTAGAATTCTGGGAGTTGAAGTCCACAAATTTTAAGGTTGCCACAGTTGGAAATGCCTATTTTAGGCTTTCTTAATTTGAGATAAATGTGAGCTTTAAGAGGAAATACTATCCACGTCTCTCTACACACTATCTGTAACTCATGTCTTGTGTTTAATCTCGCCATCATTTATCATTTCATTTTGTTTAAATCTACAATATATTATAATATATTAACAGAATCTAAAGCTGATAGTAGACTATGAAGATTTTTTTGTAATAGGCTCAAATTAGCAACGTTGTTGTTGGATGTTTGCTGATTATATTTCATTTGCAGTGTAAACGGGGAAACAAGGCCAATCTATAAAGGATTCATATTGTCAAATTTTCTCTTAATGTCACAGGTAAAAATGGAAATGTTGTATTGTAATACTCACTTATGAAGAGGTTATCATGCTCATAAACATAGTGCAAAGATTCATTTAATGCTTTCCAGGATACTAGTTTTATGTATTAATAGTGTAGTCCTTTAAATGCATATTTATGTCAGTTTTATTGTTCTTTGAAATTATATTTATAATAAATGAAGGGAGAATTCTTTAGAAATTTTGCTAGAGGAAAACAAAGTTTTACGGAAATCTGAATAAGCCAGTCTTGTTGATAATCTAAACTTGGAAGTTTGAAGTAGATAATTTTGTAACCTATTTTCAATCTATATTTTTTTAATATTTTAAAAATATGATAGTATGATTATTTGGTTTTTAGCAGAAATATTGTCACCTTGAGGAAGTTGCGGAGAGAATATGGTGTGTATGTGTATAGATATAGTGAGAATTCAGCAATACTCAGCATGATAGCAATAGCATTTAGACTTTTATACCGCTTCATAATGCTTTACAGCCTTCTCTAAACAGTTTTACAGAGTCAGCATATTGCCCCCAACAATCTGGGTCCTCATTTTACTGTCCTCGGAAGGTTGGAAGGTTGAGTCAACCTTGAGCCGGTGGGGATCCAACCCCTGGCAGTCAGCAGAATTAGCCTCCAATACTGCATTCTAACCACTGTGCTACCACGGCTCTTGTTTCTTTGTACTAGATCTTGCTTTTAGAAGATAAAAAATTTGGATTTGTTTTAATTTCATAGCAACTGCATATACACAGGTTAGATAAAAGATCTGGTTTATATTTGTTATGTATGACAGCCTATGATCCATAGGCTGTCATACATAAGTGGAATATTTTTGGATTTGGATTTTATTGAGCATTTATATGCCGCCCTTTTCCCTGAGGGGACTCAGGGCGGCTTACAACAATGGNAGAATTATTCTACATGTCAGCTTCTCAAACTTAGTTGTTTGAAGGTACATAAAAGCAGTTGTAATAAATAATAAAATAATGAATATTTTCATGGGAAATAATCCATAGCTGTAAATATATTTATATAGGGCTTGGTTCAAGTTCTGTTCAATCTTTCTTTGCTGTAAAATCAACACATATTTCTAATATATTCAATCTTACATATTTCTTGCCATATATTAAGAATTTAAAAATGGCTTTCATACATTCCCATTTGATCAAGAAAGAATTTCAGTGTTTGCTCTAATATTTTCACAGCAGCTCTACCTTCTTCACTTTTCCATATATGAGGAATATTATTTTTCATTAAAAAAAAACATTCAGATCTAATTAGCTATTCAAAGGGACCTTCTTCATAATAATAGTTGAAGTGCTATTATTATTAAAAGCTATTTAAGCTATTTTTCATTTGTTATGAATAACAAACTGAGATTATCCATTTTCTGAATGAATCTTTTGTATACTTCAGTTACATATTTTCTCTTTCCCAGCAAAAATCTTCAAATTTTTAAATTTGAAGTGTTATCCCCCCCTGGATTTTATTATTTATCTGTATATAAATGAATCTGAGCTTTTTCAAACTCATTCTTTGCATTTTGCTTTGGCCCAGATTATTTCTACCAAGTATTCTATTGATTAAAAAATAACACACATACACACACAAACACACAAGAAAATAAAACTTGTCTGAAGAGTTAACAATTAAACATTAAAAATGCAACATGCTATATATTTCATTTTAAGCCAGATAGCATCACATTACAAAATCTGGAAAGATATCTGCTTGACATCATCAGGATTGAGAGATTAAGAGGGAACAATTCAAAATATTCCAGGGGACCCATCAGTAAATGCAAACACTTCAGCAGCCAAATAATCTGAAAGCCTAGAGTGAAATATGGAATCTCTATAGATCACTGCAACTCTTATCCTCTACTTCCAATATTAACGCACTCCAGGTTTTTAAAGAAGCATAGTTGGGATAGAGGACCATCTAATTATGGGAAGATACTCTTAAATATATATATATTTCCAAAGATGGTCTTTTAATTTGTAATGCTATACTCTCCCCTCTCCTGGGGCACTAAAAAGGACAGTCACTTCCTTCCCAGAATAACAAGTCAAGATCTCCAATTGAAAACATTAAAAAAGAAAATGGATGATAAGAGAGTTCAGACAGAGATGACAGACATTTTTCCCATATTCAATCAGCTTCTATTTCTCTAATACGTCAAGATCAGGGAAAGCAGGAACCAGTTCTCGTATAAATAATGTTTCGTACATCTTGCTTTACTTCTTTGAGGCTTGCATGTGGATGAGAAAAAGGAGTTGCGAGGGGGATACCTTTTGCTCATCTAAAGATTTTAAATTTTTAGCTTGTTATTGCCCCACCTTTGATAAAATAACAAGAAAGAGATATATTGATTTGAAATAATTTATCAAAATTAGCATATCAGAGACTTTGTGTTGATTAGAGCCAAGACTGAATCTCGTTGACAGGACCGAACTGAAATGTTTTCGTAAGATTGTCACAGCTTTTATTGCTTGCTATTTAATATTTTATCCGTCTGCTTTGTAGGGTTTTTTACACATATTCTGTTGGATGAAGCTGCACAGGCAATGGAGTGTGAGACTATTATGCCTTTAGCACTAGCAAATAAAAATACAAGAATTGTCTTGGCTGGAGACCATATGCAGGTAATGATGTCTATTTCTGAACGTATCCCAATTTTTTAAAGAACATCTAGCTCTGTTTGCAAATTATAAAGTGTAGAAGAATGATTATTTCAAGAATTATTTTGGTGTAGGATTTAAGAGAATGAAACATAAATCAAGAAGCGGTTAGCTTAAAATCCTGCCATAGGTTTTTAGTTCAAAACTCTATTAAAAGCAATTGATAGAAATATAGTGATTTGTTAGACTCACTAAAATCTGCATCTGTATTCAGGTAAGGTAGGAAAATTTGAAGACATTTCATTTTTCATCCAAGAAGCTTCTTAAATTCTCCAGAAGCTTCTTATATGAAAAGTGAAATACCTTAAAGGAAAAAACAAAGTCCAGTTGTCTTTTGAAAAAAAACACCTTTGGGATTACTTACATGGTGGTGAATATCTTATCCAGATTCTAAGAGTTGCTGGATCCATTCTGGGTTGATCACCGGGGCCTGAGGTTTAGTCTTCTTAGTCTCCCATGGGCCCAGCACAAGTCCAAAAGCTTGGAAGACTAAATCTCTGGTCCCAGTGACCGATCCAGATTGAATCCTGCAATATTATACTGGGATACGTATATTTGCCTGAGAGACTGTAAGTAATCCCAAAG